GCTTGACAATCCTCATGAGGCTGCGGTTCTCTCGGTTGGTTGTGTATCTTTTTCTTCCACACTTTTTCCTTCCACTCAACTTTCATTTAACATGCTTGGATACAGCACTCTGTGAACAGCCAGCTTCTTTGGCAATGAATGTTTGTGGCTTACCCTCCTTGTGAAGGGTGTCAATGATTGTCTTCTGGACAACTGTCAGATCAGCAGTCTTCCCCATGATTGTGTAGCCTAGTGAACCAAACTGAGAGACCATTTTGAAGGCTCAGGAAACCTTTGCAGGTGTTTTGAGTTGATTAGCTGATTGGCATGTCACCATATTCTAATTTGTTGAGATAGTGAATTGGTGGGTTTTTGTTCAATGTGAGCCAAAATCATCACAATTAAAAGAACCAAAGACTTATACTACTTCAGTCTGTGTGCATTGAATTTATTTAATACATGAGTTTCACAATTTGAATTGAATTACTGAAATAAATGAACTTTTCCACTACATTCTAATTTATTGAGATGCACCTGTATATGCTGTAGTCATTTTTATTAGTTTAAATTTTTTAAAATTCATTTTGTTACTATATTTACTTTATCAGTTTTATTAAGATTTCTAGATTTAATATTTAGATTTATATAATTTCTATTGCAGTTAGTACACTCTAAATAATGCTGGGTTGTTTTAACCCAACTTTGGGTCAAATATGGACTAACCCAACTTTTGGGTTACATTTTTCAATTACATTTTTAACCCAAAAATTGGGTTAGTCCATATTTGACCCAGCGTTGGGTTAAAACAACCCAGCATTTTTTAGAGTGTAGTTTTTAAAAATTAATTTCTTGTAAGTAATTTAGTTCAAACTATTCAAACTTATTTCAGTTATATGCAAAGGCATTTAATTGTTTGTAAAATTTTATTCAACTTTTTAAAAGTTTTTTTAATCAAATATTTTTTTAAAATCTTTATTTTCATTAACAAAAATGTTTTAATACTTTTATTTAAGAATAATAACCTTGCTCTAAGAGAAGTTACATCTCAAAATGCATTCCCTTTAAATCACACCTCTAAAAAAATCAAACCTGAAAAGTGCCGTTGTTGAAGACTAGTTGACCATCCTGACCTCTTCCACAAATACAGAACCGAGGATTCAGTCGAGGAGTGACAGCCATATTTAGCAGCAACGTGTACATGGTCTACTTGAATACAGTGTGCAGTCACACAAAATGCCAGAATACATGTTGTGTGCTGTGTAGGCTTGGCATTTCAAACGACTCTCGAGTCTCTTCAAAGCTGCAAACAGCGAGCCAATGGCTGCATTTGATTTTGATAATGCCGCTCGTGTTTTTGTCCCTAAAAATACCCTCACACAGAAAATGACTGTAACACACACATGCACACACCGTCATGCTGGTCATGCCCCTGGGCCCTGGGTTTGGCGATGACTGTAATTATTTGCTGACACTGTAGGTGAACCAGGCTGTAATAACAGGCTACAGCTACGCCGCTCTTTCATTCTGACAGCAAATCCCCGGCAGAGCCCTGAGCCCAGGGGACACTCAGACTTTTACACAGATTAGAGGCATGAATGACTCAAATATAATGGAAAATTAGCACTCTTGAGTTTACTAGTACTATATAGGGCCACATTTGTAGTTTGTGATTACAATGTGCTCTGCTAGTGAAGCCACAGTGAATGTAGCTCAATAAATTTTTTGTCTTGTGAAATAAAGGATAATATATATATATATAAAGCCATCCAGTTTCACTATAGTGGCAGGAATGGCGAGATAGCTACGACTGAACGACTCACAACACAAGAGCTTCCATCATGGCTGTCGACATTGCTGAGTAACATGTTCAGAAAGGAGAGTGCGCCATCTAATGGACAAAATGAGCGTTGCGGTTTGTGATAAATGGTGGTAGCACTTCTGTGACTGTATTAGTATTATGTGAACGAAATCCTTTAGAAAGCGTGATTAACTTTGATTATTTACATATCTTTTTCATCAGGTTGTGCTATCATTCGCCCACCAAGAGATGGAGGAATCAGATACAGGGGTCTGACACAGGAACAGGTGTGAAGATTTAATTTATTAGTAACTTATTGTATTAAACATGTATATCTGTGTGGGTTTAGATGGACTACACTGCTGTTGAACAATTTGAGGTCAGTAAGATTTTATTTATGTTTTGAAGGAAGTTTCTTAAGCTCACCAAGTCTGTAAAATTCTGTAAAAACAGTAATATTGTGGAATATTACTAAAATTGTAAAAAGTTTTCATTTTGAATATATTTTCAAATGTAATGTGATTCAAAGCTGAATTTTCAGCATCATTACTCCAGTCTTCAGTGTCACATGATCCTTCAGAAAACATTCTAATATGCTGATTTGCTGCTCAAAAAACATTTCTGATTATTCAAATTATAGTTGTGCTGCTTAAAATGTTTATGGAAACTGTTAGATTTATTCAGGATTCTTTGATGAATAGAAAGTGCAGCATTCAGCGCAAATCTTTTGTAACATTATAAAATGTCTTTATTGTCACTTTTGATCAGTTTGATACTAAAGTTAGTATTCAATTTAATATAAAGTATTAATTTCCTTCTTTCAAAGAAATAAATAAATAATCTTACGTCTATCTTTTGGATGGTCGTGTATGCATTAGCCGCGGTTACATTTGTTGTAACGGTGTTCTGTGTGTCTGAATGCAGATCCGCAGTGTTCAGGTGTTGCCGGTGGATTATGAAATCGAGTATATCTGCAGAGGGAGCAGAGTGATCGTGGGACCAAAGGTCAGGAAGTGTCTCCCTGACGGCACATGGACTGACCTGAACCAGCGCAGTAAATGCTGTATGTTCTTCTCCCTATTCCCTCTCTGCAAAGGTCTAAAATGTGCCTATAAAACAGACTTTACATGGCAGCCTGTTTAATCAAGTCAAGTTCATCCATCTTTACAAATAAAAATAATGAAAACATTGCTTTAGGTCAGTGATGTGATGCCATAAACATTCAGCTATGAGCATTATGTCTTGCAAGCGCACAAAAAAGTGGAAAGATTTAAGTCATGATGACCTGCGAATGTACTAAATGAGGTCTAAATGAACTTGAAAGAAATATAAAGTATCATTTTTGACTTGTAAATGTGAAATGCGAGTTTTTTATATTTTTATATTTACAGTGTTCCTTTTAATTTTAGTTTAGCTTAAGTTTTAGTAATTTTGCTGTGTGCATTTTTTATTCGTGTATTTATTTATTTTTAGCTTTCATTTTCGTCTCATTTTATGTCATTTTAGTATTTCAACTTAAACTTACTTTAGCTGCCACGGCAACATTTCTTTTTTTTCTGTAAGTTAAAGTTTTCATTTAATATTTATATTTAACTTAATTTCAGCCTTTTCTTATCTATCTGTCATAGACTGTAATTCACAAATGACTCGCAATTCATTGTTTATATCCATACTTATCACAACCCTACCGGACATTCAGTGCATTTGCATACAGCATGTTCATCAGGTGCCAGCGCATATATTTTCAAAACTGTTGACTGTCAGTAATAGCTGATTATGAGTTATTCCTGGCCATTGTTTTAGTCTGCATCTACATTCACAGGCTGTACTGAGCACATGGCATAGTTTCTACATAGAGGAGACTATTAATGTTGACCGTATTTAGTTAATTTAGTTACTACTGTAGCGGCTCTGGCAATTTTAGGGCAGCTTTTAATACTAATACAGCTCATCCAGTAAGAATAAAGTGTAATGTGTCTCATTATTTGTTGAATTCATTAAAATTCAGAATACATCTGTGCTTTAATTTGGAAGAGATGTTGAAGAGCAGAGCGTTTAAAAGCAGAATGTGCAATAGATCACACAAATATGTCACCAAAGCCTACCATCCTGTCATGCTGAGTGAAAAATGCATAAGTGATGGAGGTGTTTTGTCACTGTTTTGGTGCGAACAGTAGGAAATCTGTTTATCAGGAAACCAGATATATCTGGTCATGTTTTAAAATGTCATCAAATATGTCAGATTTTTTCGTAGTAAGTCACACAGTGTATGTTTACCTACCATATAAATCATAACTTCTCTTTGACATATGTTCTTAAATTAATCTGATTTAAATGACCGTACACTAACAGTACCTCAGAAGGAAATGATTAGTGATTATGGTGATGTTTGAAATGGAATATCAGCATAATGCTTAGTGTAGCCATTTTCAAACTGACTCCGGGGGCCACGAGGGAGAGAAAAGTTCGGAGAAAAAGTGTAAAAAAATGAAAATAAAAGGCTAAGCCAGTAAAAACATCATTAGGTAAATAATAATATAAAAAAAAAATCTAAATCTAAAAATACAATACTGTAGTGATTAGAAAATGTATGCACAATACAAAATAAAATATTCTCTAAATAATGTTTTACACTTACTTAAAATATCCATTTTCACAGTCTGTATACATGAATAGCTGGCTTTTACATTTTAGAATGGGGGTCTCTCGTATCAGAATGATCATAATTGGGTGTCCGTGGCATATAAGAGATTGCAAACCCCTGGATTAGTGCATAGTGTGCAGTATACAGTGTTCAGGAATTAAAAACAGTACACAGAATACTGTGATAAGCATTTTAGACAGTATATGCTGCACTGCTGTCACATGACCTCATTAATTCAGCATCTATTTCAGATAATCATATTAAATCTGTCAAGAATGTGGTGTTCAAAACTGAGGCTGATCTGATAAATTCATCACACTAGGAAGGTCAAGCAGCATTGCATTGTGGGATATGGTATCCCATGAAGTGTGCTTTGCTATCTGATGCGCATATTGGCAGATGGAGAACAGCAGGTCATCCAGGTAAATACCTGGGATTCATGGAATACTATATTCCACAATACAATGCTGTTTGTCTTAACCTTCCATTTCCAGTGCACACTATTTCCATGATACACTAATATTCAAAAGCTTGGGGTCAGTAAGATTTTTAAAAATGTTTTTGAAAGAAGACTCTTATGCTCACCAAGTCTGAATTTATTTGATCAAAAATACAGTAAAAATGTTAATATTGTGAAATATTATAACTTTTTCAAATAACTGTTTTCTGTGTTAATATATTATAAAATATAATTTATTCCTGTGATGCAAAACTGTATTTTCAGCATCATTACTTCAGTCTTCAGTGTCACATGATCCTTCAGAAATCATTCTAATATGCTGATTTGATGCTCAAGAAGCATATCTTCCTATTAATGTTAACAGTTGTGCTGCTTCATATTTTTTATGGAAATCGTCATATATTTTTTTGTCATGATTCTTTGATGAATGGAAAATTCAGAAGAACAGCATTTAATTAAAATACGTATTTTGTAGCATTATAATCGTCTTTACTGTCACTTTTGATTTAATGCATCCTAGCTGAATAGCTCAGTGACCCTAAACTTTTGAACATTAGTGTATACTGAAGAACAAGCAAGAGTAGTATACTATTCTGAACAGAGTTGAACCATTTTATTCTTTTGAGGACATTCTCAAAATTGAATTTTTGTCAGATTTAGCTAACATCTGGATATGTTTTTCAGCAGTTTTGTCCCCAAAAGTAAGCTAGGTCAAGTACACGTGCACACACACACACACACACACACACACCATACCAAAACAGCTGTCAATTCAAACCTTTAAACTGTCCTGTGCTGTTTTAAAAAGGTGTTGACACAAAAGCGCTGATGCATTTAACAATCACTGCCTAATGCAACTATGAAGTACTACAGATGGCCATTGAGCATATTGTGTATTATATAATTGGTCTCTCAGGGTGATACGTTCTGTTCTTGCCATCTTTTCATTGCTGACAAGATAAAAAATGAATGGTAAGACTGCATGCTTTATAAAGGTAAATTAAGGTAATATAAGGTAAAGACTAATTAATCATGTAAGGAAAACTTCCATTCCAGACTGCTCACATGAAACATAGATCCTAAATGAATATAAAGCACCTTTTAGCATCAAGTCAACACAACAGTTTTGAAGCATCACTGAGGGTTTGAATGGCATACAGTATATTTGTATAACTGACCCTTTGCTGTGGCGTGTGTGTGCTCTTCAGTGCTGCCGTGTGCGCGGGTGTGGACGTCTCTGGAGAACGGCCGTGTGACAGTTCACCCTGCAGGCCCAGCGGTGGAGGGCACGATACTGCACTACAGCTGTCTGGAGGGTTTCATCCTGGTGGGCAGAAACAGCACTCAGTGCACTAAACTGGGCAAGTGGGACTCACCCAAACCTGTCTGCCACTGTGAGTGCTAGTGTATTTGTGTACTTTCAAGATCAGATCAGTTTTATTTTTTATTCATTACTTATAATTATTTTATTCTCTTTCTCCTGTGTTCTGCTTCTAATGTAGATGACAGACATTATACAGGTAAGAATGTTTTTGTATTCTTATGTATGATAAGACCAGTATTGTAATTACTGAGGAGATATCGTTACTTTGCAATAAACAGAAACTTTATAAAATGACTAATTATCCAGAAGTTTCCAAACAGAAGACTCCCACAACTACCATTTCCATGTTACGCCAAATTCCTTAGACGTGAAGAATTTTTCAGTTTTGTTGCACACATTGGATTGAAACCCTCCTTTTTTCTCACATGATTTAAATTCGCTACTTGGACGGATCTATAGGTAGTGTTATCTGTGTATAGGTTATGTGATCTTCAACATTTCGAATCAACTAATAGATGCATTGGATCACTTGTTTATCATTTCCATTTTCATATAAAAGCTGCAAGATTTGTATTTCATCCACTTTTTTTAGCATAGATGTAATTGGCAGCTTGGACAGGTGGGACATGTCCCCACCGCTTTTTGAAAACCATTGAAAAAATAGCCATGGGGAAGGCTTATAAAGCAAAGTAAAAGCATCTCGTTCTTCATAATTTCATTCATTGATGTAATAACATACATTTGTGACAGTCAGGCCTGATCTATAAACCTCTTAGCATGCACATATCAGGATTTATAAACAATATCCAACATAATTATGTGCAACACCACTCACTCTGGACCATACACACTCTTTTACTGTGGGATCGAGATTAAATAAACAGAATGCTTTATATTTGCACATTTAGATTAAATATGCTACTCTAATGAATGAATGAATGAGTTAATCACACAAATTACATGTACCACTGCTACACATTTGCTGCTGGTGTTGTGCGGCTACTGTACATTACACATTCAGTCACGAACAGCAACCAGAAAATGCCCACAAATGAGGGACACTGACACTGAAGCCTGATGTGCCATACAATTACATTTATATGTGCATATTTCCTGCTTCTAGCTACCTGTTCAGCACATCCAGTAAAGGGAATCAGTGCTTAATGTATATGGTTGCCATGACAACGTCACGCCCCCTTCTCCCCACAGCCTAGTCCCCTCCACTTTTTAAGAAAGATATGCCAATGCTTTTTAGCAACTAAGAACCCTTGTGAAAAAGAGGTGCACTTAATTTTACCGACTCTGCACTGATTGTACTTTGAATCTGTACTTGCAGGTAATATTAAACAATATTAATAAAATACGAGGCCACTTTAGTGTATTTAAAGAGAGTACACTTTCATGAGTGTGTTTCTGTAACGGGGCTGACGAGACGTGAGACGTGTGGATCCATCTGCAAGCTTTTATTAAAGAGACGTGGTATAACAGGCAGGGTCGAACAATGGCAAACAGGTATATGGCGGGCAAAAACACAAGAATAGTCCTAGGGCTAGCGTAGGTCACCGATCGGCAGACAGAATCATAGGGGCGAGACGGGAGGGAAAAATCCAGGAAAACAGGCAAGGCAAATCAAGGAAAACACGGAGACTCGGAAAGGGGTACAGGCTAAACAATACTCAGCAGAGAATGGTGGTTAGAGTGGGTGTTATATAGTGAGTGAGGTGATAAGAAACAGCTGTGTGCAATGAGTGCAATCAGTGCAGTGTGCAAATCGTGCAATGAATGATGGGATATGTAGTCCGGGGTGCTATGCAACAGTTTGTGTAGTGTGAGAGTCAATGTAAAGGAAAGGGTGACCTCAGGTGGTGAATAAACTGAATAAACCGAATTCGTGACAGTTTCTTAAAACCCATAAGTTCACTTTTTTAATTTTACATTAAAATGTTCACTTCATGTACATTATTATTATTATGTAAAGTACATTGTTTTAAGTTTTTTGTTGTGATTTAAAGGGATCATGAACTGAGAAATTAAAATTCCCTTGATCTTTTGACATAAGAGGTCATTGTACTATAAAAAATCGTGCAATGAATGATGGGATATGTAGTCCGGGGTGCTATGCAACAGTTTGTGTAGTGTGAGAGTCAATGTAAAGGAAAGGGTGACCTCAGGTGGTGAATAAACTGAATAAACCGAATTCGTGACAGTTTCTTAAAACCCATAAGTTCACTTTTTTAATTTTACATTAAAATGTTCACTTCATGTACATTATTATTATTATGTAAAGTACATTGTTTTAAGTTTTTTGTTGTGATTTAAAGGGATCATGAACTGAGAAATTAAAATTCCCTTGATCTTTTGACATAAGAGGTCATTGTACTATAAAAAACGTTTAAGTTTCAGAACTCAAATCTTTCTCGTTAGTCTAAAAACAGCTTATATTGAAGGCAGTCTGCTAAAACGACAGCTTGTGGAATCATGGGCGGCACTAGGGAGGGGCTACCCCATACATAAAAAAGATTAAATTAAATAATCTTGGTATAATGATTTTTATTTCATTATTTCAAATTTTTATTTGATTATTTAATAATGAGGGCGTGACTCACATGCATAACTCGTGCAATGCAAAACAACGTGACGTGATTTGCACACATCTCATAATGTCATAGCATTTTATTTTAAAAATGGATCGGTGCCTTGTGCTAAGTAGGCCTGCCCCCGACTAAAGATCTTTTCTAGTCAACTGGTTGCACGTTTATATTAAATTGATTAATATAATAACCTATTAAACCATCCTTTAATATATAGGCATTTAGGCGTAGCCTATTCCACACTCAAGGGCGCGCACCAGCAAAAGTATTGATTATGAATGCATCACGTCAGAAATTTCATATTAAAGTACATTTCAGTTTACCACAAATGGTAGTCAGTACATTGTAACCATATTTTAAGGACGGTACAAAAATAAAGGTAATTATGAAATTACATATAAAGATGTACTTACAGTAAATCCTACACTCTCAGAAGTAAAAAAAAGTGTACCTATTGAAAAGGTACCACCCCAGGGACAGCTTTTGCCAAAAAGCACTCTAAAATTAAGCTAGTTAAATAATCTTGGTATAATGATTTTTATTTCATTATTTCAAATTTTTATTTGATTATTTAATAATGAGGGCGTGACTCACATGCATAACTCGTGCAATGCATAACAACGTGACGTGATTTGCAGTCACACATCTCATAATGTCATAGCATTTTATTTTAAAAATGGATCGGTGCCTTGTGCTAAGTAGGCCTGCCCCCGACTAAAGATCTTTTCTAGTCAACTGGTTGCACGTTTATATTAAATTGATTAATATAATAACCTATTAAACCATCCTTTAATATATAGGCATTTAGGCGTAGCCTATTCCACACTCAAGGGCGCGCACCAGCAAAAGTATTGATTATGAATGCATCACGTCAGAAATTTCATATTAAAGTACATTTCAGTTTACCACAAATGGTAGTCAGTACATTGTAACCATATTTTAAGGACGGTACAAAAATAAAGGTAATTATGAAATTACATATAAAGATGTACTTACAGTAAATCCTACACTCTCAGAAGTAAAAAAAAGTGTACCTATTGAAAAGGTACCACCCCAGGGACAGCTTTTGCCAAAAAGCACTCTAAAATTAAGCTAATTGCATTTAATATAAATTTCAATTATAATATATTTTTTGTTTAATTGCAATTAACATTCAGTTAATTGATGAAAAACATTACATTCAGTTCTATTCAGTACTATGTCTTCCTTTGCATAGGAAGTAGGAATTGTGCAAAATAAAGCGTTGATAATGTTAATTATTTTTAAATTTTTGGACTGAAAATTCCTCTGTTTTGAATCTTAAACGAGGACCATGGTTTTAAAAAAAAAAAAATTTTTTTTTTTTACGTTTATTTTTCCAAGAAATTTATGGTGTTCATCCCTACCTGGCAGTGGCACTGTTGAGTGTAAAATACTGTGAAGTTCCCCAATCAAATGAAAGAGTAAGATGAAAATCAAAAGGGGGCAGCATTTCATTCAGCAGTCAGTAAGTTCCTTTACTAACCTGAAGGGGGCAGCATTAGACAAGTTAATCTTGGTAATGCCATACTAAAATCATATCAGAAGATGGTAGTATTGAGTGCACAAAGAGCTGTATTTCTTGTAAATGAGACTGTCTGTCATACAGCACTCACCGATGAGCATATGCACATGCTAAATATGAAAAATTAATTTAATAGCACCATAGAGAAGCGGGATTGTATCATACTGACATGCGTAATCCCACATGTCACTGCCTGAGATTACATGAGGTATGGATTCCCCACGGGACTGCATGACCTTGACTTCCACAGGGCCAGATCGAGGTGAATGAATTGTAGATACCGTCCTGGATGTTTTGGCATGTGCGCAAGTGCGTGACACTGTGTGCAGATCAGCCCGTGGTGTTTGCTAAATTGATTAATGGAGGTGTCAGTGTCCCAATATGGCAGTGATGTCTGCACACTGAGAGAGAAGGTGATGGAGGGCCGGCCGGCAGGAAATGAGAGAGGAGAGGAGGATGAAAATGAAGGAGAGGAAATGAGATGGAGAGAGAAGAGGGGAAAAGGAAGAGGGGGCACAAAAGTAGGGGGTTGTGTGAAAAGAGAGATAGCATGGTAGAGAAAAAGCAATTTAGGAGGAGGGATGGGAAGAGTAGATGATTTATGCGCTACATCTACTTAGTAAATGGTGTTTTCTCACAGTTTTTACCTGGCTGGAAACGCACTCCCAGGTTATCACATGCTTGTTGCCGCCACCTGCTTCTGCCAGCAGCCATAATAACCTGCATAGCAGTGGCTATTCTGATCTATACGTACCTTTAAGTGTTACAGATCACATTTGCACTGTCTAATCCGTAATGTGTGTCAATACTTAAAATTGCTTTGGCTACAGACGTAAATCATTCAGTTGCAAACAATGAGCCAGTCCATCCAGGAAGTCACATGACACAAAATGCTAATGATGCTGATGAGAATTGCTCAGTTAGCAACAAGACAAAACACTGTAGATATGTCTAGCAACTGGCTAGAACATCCTAGCAACCAGCTTGAACACCTTAGCAACACAGTAATGAAAAATAAAATGGTTAGCAACCAGCCAAAGAAAACCTAGACATTTCTAGCAA